TTGGAAAAACAGTTATCAAAATATATTATTTTAAGTCCATGAACACCACATTAAAAATCCCTGCTCCAAAGTACTCCTCCCTTCCCCTACAAAGATCAAAAGTGGCAAGTAAACCAGTGGTCAAGTTTGTTAAAGTAACTAGAACCATAAATCCTTCTGCAGAGAGATGAAAAAGAGCACTTATGATTTTAAGCAATCTTGGAAAATGGTTTGATCATCTTATAGATTAGCACATATCTTTTTACACAGGCCTGAAGCTGTAGTGAACTATGAAGGGGAAAATATTCTTTGGAAAGTAAATATTTCTAACCAGGAATTAATTTACTGTTTCTAAGACTTAGAAGAATAGGCCCAGGAGTGTAACAAAAGAAGTTAATAATCCTATTGTGGATAAATATGTTATTTCCAAATGTGAACCATTTTTGAGCCTCCCATCACCTGACAAAGGCCTAAAACCAGGATTGGCCAATCAGGAGAAAGATATGTTCGACCCACTCTGAGTTTAACCTACCATAATGCTTTGTGTGCTCTGGCATAACAGACATGCTTTCTTTGCTTTCTGAGTGAACCCAAAATGTCCCTGTGTCAGCAACTATAAGGCCAGATGAAGCCGACTAGGAGTATTCTTCTGTTTATGAAGAGCAAGGACAAGGTACTTTGAATGGAACTATCTTGAATAATGGGACTTTTCTTATTTTGGTATTTTATGGACATATGCTATGCTACGTTATGAAACATACACACACACACACACACACACACACACACACACACACACATATATGTAAATGATAAAAGAAACATAGACATCCTGGATCTATAATTTCAATTGATACCTTGACATTCTCTTATCTTATTGCATTTATAATGTATCGTATTAAGAAATTCCTTTTTCATATTATGGTTAAACACATGTGGAGATTATAATTTTGGGTTGACACAGGCATCCTGAGTTGAGATTGCTCTAAGTATATGAAGGGTCTTCTTCAGCTTGTTTACCTGTGAGTTCAGAATTATTTTCTGACTCCATCATGCATGATTCTCTGGCTTAATGAGAATAAATAACTATGTTATAGCGCATGTACATCCTGATCATGTTTGTTCCTTGTTCAAACCTTTGGTAAAGGGGAAACCTCGATTCTTTATTTTCTTTGGACAAACCTTCAGTTAGGCAGGACCCCTTCTGTTTGTTCTTAGGACAAATCTTCATTTAAGGGGGAAACTGATTCTATTTGCTTCATTGGACAAAACCTTTGGTAAGTGACTGACAATTTTGGTGCCTTGACTCAGATGGAACTGCTGAAGTGAAGAGACAAGTCCCCCCAACCCCGACAATACTAGTGACTTGGGACCACAGTATCATTTTTTCCCCTGGAGTCTCAGCTTTGCCAGGTGTGTAGATAAGTCTTTTTACTCCCAGCTCTCATTCTCAGACTCCCATGGGTTTGGTTGAAGTCCACAATTCTCTAAGCCAGCTTTGAGCACAGGGATCACTTTGGTTTTATTTTCTTGGTCCTCTTTGGTAAAGGATCCTTTCACTTTTGACCAATTTAAATTGGTTTGTCTTAAAAACAACTTAAGCTTAAAGGCTAATAAGATGTCTAGACTAAAGTGGGAAAGTTAGTGCTGAAAATGGCAGAGTCAAAATCAGAAGTGTTTTCCCTTAAAGCTGGCAAAGCCTCTTCATTTTCAGCACCCTTTCCCCAGTGATGTTTAATCGCCTTCCCTCTCCCCTTTCCCTTAAAGGCTATGGCCTGATGGGCACTCAGATCCCTGAACTTAACTTCATAGAGACCTACCCCTTTAAATCCGCAACCTCAGGGACACTCTGAAGAAGGCCTACAAGACTGAGTCCCCATCTACTCTTGCTCTCTTTGCCCTTTTTAACTAAGGAATTTTGCAATAAATAGAAATTTAGTTTGTTATACTATTTTGGGAACTTATTTACGTTACTTAAGGACATTTTACACCAACTTAGTTTGGTAAATTACCATTTTAAAGGTTTATTTTTGCTTTAAGATGGAAGAGAGAGATTTATCATTTTCGAAGTTTCCAACTAATTCATAAAAGTTTAGTGATTATTCTTCTTAACACCAGGATAAATTTTAATCTTTTTTTTTTAAGGGTTAAGTGACTTGCCCAGGGTCACACAGGTAGTAAGTGTCAAGTGATTGGTCTGAGGCCAGATTTGAACTCAGGTCCTTCTGACTTCAGGGCCTGTACTCGATCCACTGTGCCACCTAGCTGCCCCAATCAGGATAAATTTTAAACCGCTTTTAAAAAGGGGAAATATTTTTTGAAAGAAATCCATAAAAATCTCTTGTGCGATTTTTAGAAGGCCTGCTAAATTTTCATTTGCAAGATAATTTATTACTAAATTATCACAATGAGCTGTAAAGCAGAAGAGATCTTGCTGTTTTGATCTGAATGTGTAGTCATCCCATAACCTAAGCAAGTGTTAAATTGGTTTTGAACTTATCATATGTACAAGATTCAATTCCTGAAGTATCTCATTCTTCCAGAGTGAGTATAATTAGAAAAGGATAAGCAAGATTGTAAAACAAGGATATAAATCTATCAAGTTGTGAGGTTAGTCAGGAACCTCTTTGTTTTGTTTAAGCTGAGATAGGATTGCAGGACACGAATCGGGGTCAGGATATCCTATCGCTGGCTTATTTTCATGTCTACATAACAAATCTACAAATACAAGCAGCATGATCAGAAAGATACCTGGAAAAACTACATCCATATTAAGAGATAAAATAATACAGGGATTTTATGAGATATACTTGTTTAACAAGTAGAAGTGAAAGCTTTCTTTTTTTATTCCTCACTGGTGGGGGAAAAGTGAGAAAGAAAATAAATGCCTGTTAAACAAAAATGAAGATAGAAGTAAAAAAAGAATATACAGTTAAAAAGCAAACTACAAAAAGTAGAATCAATTGACCATCAAGAGGCAACATAATATGGTGGGAAACACACTCATTTGGGAATAAAAAGACTTGGATTTTTGCCCAAGGTTTGACACTAATTTGCTTTGAAAGCTTGGCTAAAGTTACTTTACCTTTCTGGGGCTCCTATATGAAATGAAAGAGTTAAACAAGATGAACTTAAAGATCCCTCCTAATTCTGATTTATGAAATTTTATGCTCAGCATTTAAAGAGTCAAATCTCAAGAAGATTCACTCCTGCTCTAAGCATCTTTTCAGCATTTTAATATGAAAGGACTTGCAAGACACACCATTTAACACATGCACTATACATTATGTTTTACACTCAGAAAAAAGCAATTGTTCAGGAACTATAAGGGAGAGAGCAATCACCAATGATATGTTTCAGGCTGAACTGGTTTTTCTAATTACAAGGCACCTATGAAAAACAGCAATTGGATTACCTCTAAAATGTGTAATCAACATCTGTGTAATCAACATCTTTAAAAATATTAATACTCAAAACTTTCTTCTGAACTGTTGGTAAACTGATTCCCACTCTCCTCTTGTAGATAGGGCAAGTTTTGGTTTAGATTGTAACCTAAGAATGGGGAAGCTGGTATCTCTCCAAACAGCCTTTGCTCAGTTAAATGACACCTCCCCCCCGCCCCCATTAAAGCTTTCAGGTAATGTCAAAGGATAGAAAAATCAATCTGAAGCCCCTAAAGGACATCAGTTCTAATGATTTCATCTTGCTCCTGCCTTGATATCTAACTGGATCCAGCTTCTAGTTCTGACAGTGTGATGTAATGATTAGAAAGCTGGCCTACAATCCGGGAAAACCTGTGTTCAAATCCTGCTCCTTATGCATACTTTGTGACTCTAGAAATCACTTAAATGCTCAATATTCTAGACAAAAATTCTGTTAACACCGTAAGTTGCAGAGAAGGTGACCACTGGCACTGCTCAAGGGAATTTCCCACACCAATGAAATCATAGTTTGAGTTCCTGTCCTGGATTTCCTTTTTATCATAATCTTCCTTGCCTTTATAACAGAATCCCCATTTAGCTTGTGCTGGCTGACAAGAGAGATAAATGTGTTATTTACAGAGACAGAACCAGACCTGCTCATAGAACACTTCTCAAATATACCAAATTAATGACTCTATAGAAGAGTTTTTAACCTAAGGTTCCTGAACATTTTTTTGGTAGTATGATGCTATATTTCATTTTAATTTGGTTTCCTTTGTAATTGTGGATATTTTATTTTATGCCTTTAAATACATTATTCTGAAAAGGGGTCAATAGGCTCCACCAGATGGCCAAATTGGCCCAATGCACATAAAAGGGTGAAAAAAGTGATAGATTGTTTAAGAAACAAACCAGAATTTCTATATCCCAGTGAGTTAGTACCCTTCAAAATAGTTCCCCTGAGAAATAATACGTTTATTGCTTCCAGTGCTTAAAAGGATTTTGGACATAGTCGTAAAAGTCTGTGAAACCATCTTTTGAATAATTTCAATGGTGTTGGGTATACATCCTTTCAAGGGTATATCTCACTTTAGAGCAAAGGGCCAAAAGACACTCAGAATTCAGTCTAATGAATAAAGAAAATGATCAAGCCCCAAAATGCCTTTGATAAGTAAAAATGAGGCACAAATATGCTATAACAAGACTGATAGTGTTCTAAGGTTTGACCACTCATTCATAACACTGTAAGTTTTGTAGCATAATTGCTAAAACATGCAGAGGAAAAAAAGACAGCTAGATGGTAAGTGAATAGAATGCCAGGCCTGGAGTCAGGCAGACCTGGGTTCAAATTTGAATTCACACACTTACTGGCTGTGTGACCTGGGACAAGTCACTTAACCTGTTTGCCGTAGTTTCCTCATCTATAAAATGAACTGGAGAAAGAAATAGCAAACCACTCCAGCATCTTTGCTAAGAAAACCCTAAATGGAGTAACAGAGAATCATACTCGATTGAAAAACAACTGAACAACAACAGAGAAAAAAATCTAGTTTAATTATTTTCTTGTCACACCCTATATTGTGAATTCTCAGCATAACATAGACTCTCAGAATTGGAAGAAACCTCAAAAATCACCTAGTCTAACATATCTAAACAGAAATCTCTCCCCTCTACATCTGCCAGCTGGCTTTTCTGTCTTCCTTCAAGACTCAGCTCAAATCCTGCCTTCTACAGGGGGTCTCTTCCAGTCTTGCTCCCCACCTCCCCTTTCTCCACTGCTATCACTTTCCCTCTGAGATGACTGTTTTACACTGTATGAATCCTGTACAGATATAGTTGTTTGTATTTGCATACTGTATCTATCCCAAGGCATTATCTTGATGGTAAAGATCATGATTTTTGCCTCTCCTTGTACTTAGCACAGTGCCTGGGGCATAGTAAGGGCTTATAAATGTTTTTGATGATAATGAACAAGTGAACAGAAACTTCTTGAAGAATTCTAACGGCGGTGAACCCACTGTTTCCTTAAGAAGTTTTTATATATTTCTAATTGTAGGGTTTTTTTACCTCACATCAAGCCAAATACTCCTCTCTGCAACTTCCAAACACTGCTTCCAGTTCTGCCCTCTGGGACCCATCAGAACAAGTCTGATCTGTCTTTTACATGACAGTACCTCAAATACTAAAAGACATTTACCATGCCCCACCTAAATCTCTTCTCCAGGCTAAACACCCTCAGCTTCTTCAACTGGTTTCTATGTGCTGGCCTTTCAGTCCTATCAAAATAAAATTCTAGTCCCATCAAAATAAACATTAAAATCTATTTAAATGCCAACAGAATACAAAACACCTCCATTGGCCTGCCATTTCTACCTGAAATTTCAGCCTTTATTTCAGTGCTTTGGGTTAAAACATTGAATGCTACCATTAAGATGCAAATATGCTAGGGTAGGAAGAGTAACACATTAAGTTGTTATCTAGCATTGACAACTTGGCGAAAAAAAATAATCAGTGTATCAGAAAATGGACTAGTCTCAGAATCAGGTCAGCTGGGTTCTAATTCTAGCTCTTCACTAAATAGCTTTGTGACTTTGGGCAAATCATTTAACCTTGCCGGACTGCCCACTTTACACATTGATAAAATGAAGTAGATGGATCGAAAGATTTTTAAAGTCCTTTCCAATCCTAACCTCTGTGTTTCTGTAATTAGTAAGTCACCTAAGGGATAATGCAGAATAGAATATAGGATGGATACGTTTTGATAGGGAAGCTGGAGGAAGGAAGAAAGGATCTGTAACATATGCTGTAAATGTGGTATCTCAGGAGAGATACTGAGCAGCTAGGGAATACTAATCAGGCACTAGATACCTAGAGGTTAGAAAAGGGGGAGGTGGAATGCCATAAGAAATAAACTTTGCCTACTTTACAATTTTGCCCAGGGTCAGCCCTCCAGGGAGATACTCAGTGAAATCAAAGAGGTAGCTTCACAGGTCTGCTCAAAATTGGGAAGCCTCATCTCCAGAGACACAGAAGACCTCTTCTTTTTGCTGAGCAGTCTGTCACTGCCAGAGAATTGTACTTGTATTACTGCCAGAAATGGGGGAAAATAAGAAAGGGAAAACGAAAGACAGGCTGAGCTATGATTAATAACCTTTCAAGGATTCAGATGGTGTAAGGGAAAAGGAATCCATCCTTCCTTTGTTTCCAAAAGTGCCATTACAATAGGAACTTCAGGCCTCTCTGGATCTCGTGAGAGATGTATGACAAGTTGATTTAACTCTGAAAGAGTCAGAAACTGGAACTGGAACAAAGAAATGACTTTAAGCTGGACTGGAGAGTGGCTCGACAGTTAAGACTCCTGGAATCATATTAAAAGTGTTCCTCTCTGGGTCTTGAATGTTGGCAGTGGTGCTGGAGGTTCCCTCTAGGGTTGCAGTAGACTTCTTTCCTTCCAACCAATAGGTTACCATTGTTCCTTTCCCCTAGGGAAAACAACAAGAGATTTTTAATTAGGGAAGTAATAGCTACTCTGCCAGAAAGTTGAGCACAGAAAATGATGGACTCATAAATTTATGGGACATGACACCACACATCTTTAAGCATATCCTAGGGAACCCTGAAGACTCAAGGGAATGGGCACTCCCATCAAGATTTTTCTTTAATTGGCTTTCAGGTTCCCAATGGAGTGCACTTCCTGCTTTCAGGGCAAGGATGTTTTTAGTGGGCAAGAAGCCAAAGTTACTGTCTAATGAGGTAAGGTTGCCAGCATACAGACATAGAGGCCCTGATTGTCAGCTAATTTCGTAGGTAGGACATAATAGGGAAGAGGGTGAATGAACTTTGCCCCGACTGACATAGGGGTCCTTCTATGTGAGCTAAAAAAGAAGTATGATTGAGGAGCTTTATAGCACTTTTATCTGTCCCTAATGACAGTCACTAAGCAGGCAGAGATCATAAATGGGAAAACTTATGCCATTCCATCAACCAAAGATCAGTCACTCTCACATAGTATAGAATGTACAGGTCACTACTTTAGCTCACAATCTAGATCAACTCTATCTTCAGACATCGCTTTAATGCAAACTGCAGCAGAAGAGAGGGTCTATGCAGAAGTTCTTATTTGGAAGTCAGTGACCTTGGTGGGGGGGTTTTTAACCTTTGGGTAACTGTATTCCAATATAACTGCTTTCCTTTGTAATCCTGTTTTTTATTTAATGTATTTAAAAGCATTCTTCTGAGCAGGGGTCCCTAGGCTTGATCAGACTGCCAAAGTGGTGCCTGATACACAAAAGGTGAAGACTCCTTGCTCTAAGGTACACAAGTTAATTGCTATTCATCTCAAAGGAGTGAAATAGGAATTTTCACAAAGACAGATGGAAGGACAAAAACGAATTTTAGAGTTGTCACAGGAATTGATTGCTTATCTTCCACATCTCTGAGAAATATGAGGGTACAACATAGTCAAAGGGAGACAGCACTGGTTTGAAGCCAGAGAACAAAAGTTCAAATCCGACCTTTGGCACTTTTTGCATAACTTTGGGCAAGTCACTTAATTCCTCTGGGTCTCAGTATCCTCATCTATAAAATGAGTATGTTGAACTAAATGGCCTCTGAGGTTCCTTCCAACTCTAAGCCTATGGTACCAGGGTGTTACCATAGCACTCCCTCAGAAAAAAAATCCCCATTATTGTCAGGTTCTATCAATAACTGCTAAGTGGCACAGTGAATAGAGTGCTGGGCCTGAAGTCAGCAGGACCTGAGTTCAAATGCAGCCTGAGAGAGTCCTTAGCTGTATGACCCTAGACAAGTCACTCAACCTCTGTCTAACTCAGTTTCCTCAACTATAAAATGGGGATAATAATAGCACCTACCTTCCAGGGTTGTTGTGAGGCTCAAACAAAATATTTGAAAAACACTTAGCACAATGCCTGGCATATGCTATACACTTAGTAAATTCTTCCTTCTTTACTTCCTTTCTTCCTTCCTTTTTTTCTTCTTTCCTTTCACAGAAACACCCCTGAGAAGTATTTGGGCAGTACCTATTAAGAACTGAAAATCTATACATTTGGTACTATTTGTTTAGCATGTTATAGAGAATACTTCTGGATAGAGGAAATAAAGTAAAGGAACTGGATTTAAATATTGCCTGTGATACTGACAAGCAGAATAACACTGGACAAGTCATTTAATCTCTGTGGGTCTCAGTTAACTCATCTATAAAATAATGAGGGAGGGTTGTACTAGATGACCTCTAAGGTTGCTTCCAGATCAAAATCTGTAATTCTATGGGATTCAAAGTCATTTCTTGACTATGTATATAAGATCCCCTAGAATATAAACTCCATGAGAAAAAGAACTATTTTAAAGTTTTTTTAAAAATTGTATCCCCAGCTCTAAATCACTATTGATTAAAGAAATGCGAATCAAAACAACTCTGAGGTACCACATCACACCTATCAGATTGGCTAACATGACAAAACAGGACAATGATAAATGTTGGAGAAGATGTGGGAAAATTGGAACGCTAATGCATTGCTGGTGGAGTTGTGAAATGATCCAACCATTTTGGAGAGCAATTTGGAACTATGCCCAAAGGGCTATAAAAATGTGCATACCTTTTGACTCAGCAACACCATTTCTAGGTCTGTAATCCAAGGAGATCATACAAATAGGGAAAGGACCCATATGTAGAAAAATATTTATAGCAGCTCTTATTGTGGTGGCAAAGAATTGTAAATTGAGGGAATGCCCATCAATTGAGGAATGGCTGAACAAGTTGTGATATATGAATGTAATGGAATACTGTTGTGCTATAAGAAATGATGAGCAGGCAGACTTCAGAAAAACCTGGGAAGACTTGTATGGACTGATGCTGAGTGAAATAAGCAGAACCAGGAAAATGATGAACACAACAGTAACAGCCACATTGCATGATGACTAACATTGATAGACTTAACCCTTCTCAGCAATGCAAAGATTTAAGGCATCTCCAAAGGCTTCATGATGGAAAAAGCTATCCACATCCAAAGAAAGAACTATGGAGTTTGAATGCAGATCAAAGCATACTATTTGCTATTTTTTTCTTCTGTTTTGTTGTCTTTTCTCTTGTGGTTCCTCCTATTGGTTCTAATTCTTCCTTACAACATCACTAATGTGAAAATATGTTTAATAGGAACGTATATGTATAGCCTATGTTAGATTGTGTGCCATCTTGGGGAGGAAAAGGGAGAAAAATTTACAACTCAAAAGCTTATGGAAGTTGATAAATCAAAATAAATTAATTATAAAAAATAAATTGTATCCCCAGTTGCTTAGCACAGACTTATATATACTAAGCATTAATAAGTACTTGTTGATTGATTGTCTCCAACACAATGGCACCTAGCTTCACCTTGCTCAACACTCTGCCCCTCTGCCCCTAGCTAACCTCCATCAAACATTGGCCCCTCCAACCAGTTATATAACCTGATACTCAAACACCCAGCAGCTTCATAGGCAAAATTCATTGCTCCCCTCCCCACTATCTATTATTCCTCACACCTGGACTCCCATCCCACCCCAGTCTCCTGGCTACTGAAGATTCTGTGCTACTGGACAGAGGTCAATGAGGTTCCCTACTTTTCTTTCTTCATTCCTTTCCCTCTTTCTTTTTAGGGATTGGAAAGGGTGGGAAATAATGCTCAGAATGAACAGGTGTGGATGGGTTGCAATCTGAACTGCAAATCTCATTACATTCTTTTTTTCCCTTCCAAACCACCCTTCTTCTGAACTCTCCTATTTCCATCAAGGGCTCCTTCCAGTCTTTGAGGTACTCCACCTCCTGGCTCTTCAGTCAACTGAAGCTGCTTTCTTCACAATTACTAATGAGCTTTAATTGTCAAATCCAGTGATATTCTCAGTCCTGATTCTTCTTGCCCTCTATCCAGCATTTGACATTCTAGACTATCTTCTTTCTTAGATACTCTCTGCCCTGTGGGTTGCTGAAAACTGTGTTTGTCACTTACAAAAACTTTAATGTCTTCATATTTTAAAAATTGGAAACATGGTTTTCTAACTCATTTAAAAATCTTCCAAATGGGGGCAGCTAGGTGGCGCAGTGGATAGAGCACCGGCCCCGAAGTTAGGAGGACCTGAGTTCAAATCTGGCCTCAGACCAAACACTTGACACTTACTAACTGTGTGACCCTGGGCAAGTCACTTAACCCCAATTGCCTTTAAAAAAAATCTTCCAAATGATGAGTTTCAGTGGCTTTTGAACCGATTTATTAAAAATATAAAACTGTAATATGGTCCAATTAGTTTGCAGTAAGAGTTGATTGACATCAGGGAAGATGGAAACTTACTAACCAAATTTCAACAAAACTTTTGCATAACTGGCAGACAAGATTGAAAAATGAGTATCATAATTCAGTAACCACAGTCAGTGATGCATTTCCTCCATTTGGATTATATATCTTTGTGAGGTATCTTTTCCAACTGTAACAGCTATTCAAATCAAATATTAAATAAACTGAACTTCAAACCAGACCTTCGGACCACTGTATCACAAAATGTTAAACCATGCTTTTCAAAGATTGTGAAGTATATTCGCATTTCTCTCACCACAAATATCATTTTAATATTTTAGTGAGAACAAAAAGTTGCTATTAAAATAAAATACTTTTAAAACTTTATTTTGGGGCAGCTAAGTGGCGCAGTAGATAGAGCACTGGCCCTGAAGTCAGGAGGACCTAAGTTCAAATCCGGCCTCAGACCGAACACTTGACACTTACTAGCTATGTGACCCTGGGTGAGTCACTTAACCCCAATTGGCTAAAAAAAAAACCCTTTATTTTATATTTATCCCATTATTTTTATAAATTTTATAATGGAAACAGTTATGATCACAGTCATAAATATGTAATATATAAGTGTATTATATATTATACATAGATATGTATATCTAGATGTATATGTATGTGTACATATATCTATAAATGCTGTTTGTTCTTCATTCTCAAAGAGGACCATGACATCTAGGTAAAAGAGACTATTCTCTGTCTCATTTCTTACCTAACCTTAATCACTGAAATGAGCTTTGCCTCAGTCAGACTGCTCAAACTGAGACCTGTTAAAGACCTTACCTTAAAAAGGCCAAGGTCTCCCACTGCATCCAGGACCATACACACACACACACACACACACACACACACATACACACACACACACACACACAAAATGAATGTATGTGATCCTTTTACCTCTGGAGGAAATAGAAGGATTAAATACTAGATTGATAAATAAGCCCTGGAAGGAAGAAATGTCATTTATGAGCCAGTGCAACCATTAACACAATGATTTAGTAGGAATATTTTAAAACTAGATACGAGGAGGGCATTGTAGAAAAGTGGGAAGAGCATTGAACTTCTACCCCTAATAACTGACTTTATACGGTGCCTAAATTTTGGAAAATGCTTTACATATCACTTAAGCCAAAAAGTTCAGAGTCATAATTTTAGACCTGCAACGGAAGTTAACTAGTCCAGCCTTCTTATTTTATATCAGAGAGGTAAAGTGACTTGCCCAAGTTCATACAAATAGTAACTAGAAGAGGATTCAAACTCAGATTCTAGCCTGGGCTCTACCACATACCAACTATACAACCTTGATTGAATAATTTCACTTGTATGAGTGAATTTAAAAAGTGAGGGAGTTAGTCACCCAAATCTTTTCCTATTCTAAAATTCTGAGACAATGTCCTGAGATAAGGTCCACTGATACCCTTGGAAAGTCAAGAGAAATCGAGGAAGAATTCTAACATGTGAGGTTGTTCAGGTGGTTCACCTGATTCTGCTTTGTCCACAAAGTCCTTTTCACCTTTTTCTTCCGCTTTTCAGTGAATTCCAAAAACAAATTGGACTTTTTATTGATAAAGGAAAAAAAGCATAGGATTTCCAAATTCTTTTTGACATATTATCTCAGATAGCACAAATACGACAAGATATCCAGTTGGCTCTCTTCCCACATACCTGCCAGTCCACCAGAAATGCTGGGAGATCACTTACCTTGACCTGCAAGTTTCCACGGCAAACTAACGTATAGTCTCCAATTTGCTCCAACAGTTGGTAGGCACTGGAACTACATTGGATTTTAAGAGCTGGCAAAGACAAAGGATACAGAGAATGATCCAACTATCAAGGTTCTGCTCTTCAGTTCCGCTGTCCCCTACTTGTTATTTCTTGCTCTCTCTCCTTAAATTATCTTGTATTTACTTACCTATATACAAGTTGCATCTCCCAGGAGAATGTAAACGCCTTGAGAAGAGGAACAGTTTCATTTTTGTCTTTACATCCCTATTACATAATACCATATACAAACTAGATGCTTAATAAATGTTTATTGTTGTTGTTAAGTCATGTCCCATTCTTTTTTTTTTTTGCTTAGGCAATTGGGGTTAAATGACTTGCCCAGGGTCACACAGCTAATAAGTGTCAAGTGTCTGAGGCTGGATTTGAACCCAGGTCCTCCTGACTCCAAGGCCAGAGCTCTATCCACTGCACCATCTAGCTGCTCCAGTCATGTCCCATTCTTTGTGACTCTGTGGATTGTACTATCCATAAAGTTTTCTTAGCAAAGATACTACAGTGGTTTGCCATTTCCTTCTCCAGCTTATTTTACACATAAGGAAACAAAGAAAAAGCTGGGTTTAAGTGACTTTGCCCAGAATCATACAGCTAGTAAGTGTCTGAGGCCAGATTTGAACTCAGATCCTCCAGACTCTAGGGCCAACACTAGATCCACTGTGCCACCTAGCTGCCCCACTGAGCCACCTAGCTCCTTCTAAAGCTTATTTGATTGAATCAAATTTGAAACAGGCACAAGGTCTTAAGATTCCCATGAACCTGACATATTCTCCACTATACCTCACATCTGATTTTATCTTTTCTTTTGTCATCTGGTAGGGGCTGTTGACATGACAGCCATGCATACTCAAATGCTGAAACAGGACTGTGATTTTATCAATTTGGAAATTCCCTTCAAAGATACAGATTGCAACCCATAACTGTTGGTTCTGGGTGACTCTTATCCATGTTCTCTTATTAGTTCATTATGACAGTAGGGTAGTGAGGGAGACGGGGGAGATGGTCTACTCAACATGTTAGAATTCTTCCTCAATTTCTCTTGACTTTCCAAGGATACCAGTGGAACACTCTGGTTATTCACCTGATTCCACACCCTCACCACGTGACCAATCTATCTTCACTTCCTATCATACAATTTCCTGACAGTATCTTCTATTCCCACTTTGGGTCCCTCATTGGTTATATGTTATAACTTATTCACAACCACCATATGACTCTCCGTTGCTTTTCATGTGACATTTATTTTTTAAATCTTTGGAATCTACTGTATTCTACCTCTTGTTACCAGATAGCAAAACTCACACAATACTGGTATTAATAAGTACTTTGCTTTTATAAGAAGTTTGAGGTAACTAAAGGAGCTTTCCAATTTCCCAAAGGCAATTCAATTCATTCCCCTTCTTGTGTTCAACTGTAGCTATAATCTGTTATCCATCTGAACTGTTTCTCTCAGACATATTATTGGACAAGTTATATAAGTTGTCCATCTAAACCCATGTTGCAATCTGGGCAATTAGTATTCTTCACTTCATCTTTTCTGTGTGGATAGTTAGGCCAAACCCCTTTGAATGGTTACAGATCTGTTCAAAGAGACCATTTCAGAGGACTTGATACAATTAGTATGTCATTCAAAACAGATGCATCTGGAAGTCTTCACCATCCACAAGGAATCACTCTTGGCTTCTGCCCTGGACCTCCTCTATCAAAGTAGTAATCATAGTTAGTGGGCATATATCTCCCTATTTTATGCCTCCCCTGATATTTATGATTAGATGGTTACTCAACTGAGTTAATTCTGTTATATCTATCCAAAAATATCCAGGAATTATTTTGATGTATGGATGGGAGACACCTTGCTGAAAAAAAAAAGCTTTTAAGGCAACATTTCACTGTACTGAATCAAATTTTTTTTTTTTACTAATCAACAAACAACAAGCACAGTGGGAGCTTACATCCTCTACACACTTCAGTCAATTGTGACATGGTAAAGATGCAGTCCATTGTTGAACTGCTCATCAAAACTTGCATGTTCCCTACTACTATCCTCATTGAGGATGCCCTTGATCAGGCCCATGGGCCACGTGTAGCCCACCACATTGGGCAGCCCATGAAAAATATAGAAGATGAAAAAGAAAATAAAGACGTAACAAGTGCTTTGTCTGTGCCCCACTTCCCCTGCCTTCCACTAGTCACTATTGTGCCCACCATGTAATTTGGCAGGTGGGTTACGACTGTGCACTCTCCCTTGTTTGTCATGTGACCTGTGGCAACCAACCATCTTCAGTATGTCCCTAGTCTGGGATGAGGGGGGAATAGATTCTTTTCGCTGTGTTTTCAGTTGTTACTGGCATTGAACAAGGACAAGCAATGCAGCTGATGGCCACTATGCAAAGAATGGCAACAACATGAGGGCTTCTTCCCCTCCCTCAATGCACGGCCGCCTTCTAAGTTACATGAGTGTCTGGCACCCTCTCCAAGGTCAGACTTCGGTTCAGTATTTCTTTGTATGTGAGCAGTTGCTATGGAGATTTTTTGGTTCAATATTAAAGTTTTGAGGTTGACTTCATAAAATGGGTGATAAAAAGAATCGGAAGATGGAATCAGAACATAGAATGTTTAATCAAGAGTGGACAAATAGATATTTGTTTACTTACATGATAGACAAAATATTGTACCTTGTTTCTGAGAAGTAGTAGCTGTTCTGAAGGAATACAATCTTCATCACCATTTTGAATTAAAACATCCAGACTTAAGCAAATTGGACATCAATGAAAAACAAATTAAAGTGTCCAAATTGTTAAAAATCTCAGTGGGGAATAAAGGTTTTTCAGGAAAGTAAACTCAGAAAATGAGGTGGCTTACTAAGGTTAGCTTTTAGATTTCTAAAGAAATTGATGTTGCAGGGAAGTCTTTTACTGAAGGTGACTTCATAAAGAAGTGCTTGCTGATTGCAATTTCTGGATTATGTCCCAATTAAAAAAGTGTTTTTGAGAAATAGTTTAATCATTAATTATACCTTTACTTGGAAAGTGAGCCACTAAAAACCTATCTGTGGCCCAAAGAAGTTTAGCCTATTTTAATTTTGGCCCCTACCTACTGCCAAGTGGTGCAGGTCTGCCCTTGATTCATAAAGATTTTGTTAATGATAGCAGTTGACATATTGATGTTCTCTTAGTCACTTTATTTTTTTGGTATTAAGGGTTGAGATTTCCATGCCTTTGTTATCTAACATGGTTGTTGTTGTCCAGTCATTTCAGTCACATCCAACTCTTCATGACCCCATTTGGGGTTTTCTTGGCAAAGATGCTGGTGTGGTTTACCATTTCCTTCTCCAGCCCATTTTATAGATGAGAAACTGAGGCAAAAAGGGTTAAGTGACTTGCTCAGGGTCACACAGATAGTAAGTGTGTGAAGCCAAATTTGAACTCTGGAAGATAATCTTCCTGATCCTGGGCCCAGTGATTTATCCCATGCTTGCACAAGGATTTCGGGCACTCCATGAAAAATGTAGAGGATATGGAAAAAAGATAAAGATGTAATGAATGTTTTGTCCATGCCTCACCTAACCCACCTTCCACTAGTCACTATTGTGCCATTATACAACTTGGTGTGTGGGTTGCCACTGCACACTCTCCCCTGTTTGTCATGTGACCTGTGGCAACTAACCATCATCAGTCTATCTCTAGTCTGAGAGGAGTAAGAGTTGTATCTTTTCACCATGTTTTTGGTGGTTACTAAATGTTAACAGTAAGAAAACCTGAAAAATAATTTGTACTGCTTAGCAAAGTAATTTTTTTAACATTAATATGATTTCATGATAAATAAAAATCTCAAGTAATAAGTAGGGGCAGCTAGATGGTGCAGTGGATAGAGCACCAGTCCTGGATTCAGGAGGACCTGAGTTCAAATGTGACCGCAGACACATAACCCTAGCTGTGTGACCCTGGGAAAGTCACTTAACCCAATGCCTAGCCAAAAAAAAAAAAGTAATAAGTGTAATTAATTTTCATTGAAATTTCCCTTTTTAAAATATGGTTTATTTGCAACATAGTTTAATCATTAATTATACCTTTATTTGGAAAGTGAGTCACTAAAAACCTGTCTATGGCCTGAAGAAGTTTAGCCTATTTTAATTTTAGCGCCTGTCTACCACCAAGTTGTGCAGTTCTGATCTCCACTGTGCCACCTAGGTGCAGTACCTTGGTACTTCGGCCTCCTTCAAATGCTTTGTATATCAATTTCTTCACATTCTCATAATTATGTGTGGAGAGATTCAGCACAGATCTACACATACTTAGTCTAATCAAACTACTGTTTACTTCTTTGTTCTCTTTAATTCCATTGCTAAATGGCACCTTCCAAGTCATTTGAAACTTCCAAATCACTCCAGGAAACAATGGTCTATGTCTCATTTTCTTGGCCAATCAAGAAAACCTGCCCTTTTTGAACCAGATACCTTCACCTAAGTAGTCTACTCTTAATTGTCTATGGATATTGGGGACAAAGAAAGAATGGATAAGTGAAATTACCAAATAACACCACAATCTGTTTAGCCATCCTCTCCAGTAAACTCTACTAATCCTCTACTAATTCTATTACAAGCGATGGAGGTAAGTTGTCAGAGTTTCAGTTCCAACTATTGATCATGCCTGCCTACTCTCTAAATACAAATCTTTAAGACTTTCTAGTTACAAATTTGTATGAAAAACATTTAAGATGAGGAAAATGACCCAAAGTTAGGCAGAGAAGACAAAGAAATGAAAACAAAGAGACTCTCATTTCTACAGGCTTTGAATAAATGAGTAGACCCTACACTGGTTTTTTTTTTTTCCCAAGTGGGAAAAAATAGGGGGATTTATTTCCCATAATGTGGGATAACAGCACTTTAAGTACAACTTAACATTGTATTTTTAGATTACAATAGTGTGTACTTGAAGCACTTCGTGCCTCAAAACACTCAGTTTTGTGGAGGGGACAAGAAAAAGTAGCAAACAGGTAAGGAATAATTGGTATGTGCAGGCCAGGATATGTACTTTCCTGAAATGGGAAACAACTGAACTTGAAATTCCATGGCAATAGGCACAGAAGACTGGGGACAGAGTTCTTGAATAAATTACTCCTCTCTGTATAGTCTATGGACCAGCCAAACGGCCTTTCTTGTATTCCTCACAGTCTATCTCTAATCTCTATGTATTTTCACTGACTGAATGTAAACTTATTTACATATATATAAATATAAGCATATTTTAGAATAAATATGTGAACAACATAAATTTTTATATGTGTGTGAAAACATATTTTATATACATATAATTGTATTTATTTTAAAATATAAATGTATAAATATTTAAATGCACTTATATTATGATTTATATATTATACACAATTATTTTTGTGATGAAAACATCAATTTTATATTAAATATAAAATATGGGAATATTTTATATTAAATATAAAATATGGGAATATTTTATATTAAATATAAAATATGGGAATATTTTATATTAAATATAAAATATGGGAATATTTTATATTAAATTTTGATCTACAAATTTAGTTCATATCAAATATAAACACTTTATAGTAAATATAAATCTATGGATATGTTTTATATTAAATACAAATGTATGAATATATTTTATATTAATGTGACAATTAAATATATTTTATACAAATATATAGGACTACACAGAATGTATGTGTGTATATATTCTGTATGGAATTCTATATTCATATATATGTATATTCTGTATAGTCCTATATATTGAATACATTTATGATTTACATATTATATTATATAATATGATGTGTTTTATTATATTACCACATAGTACATAAATACAATGTTGTATATAACATATTATTATATATTATATTGCTATATAATGTTCCATGCATATATATATACATATATATACATATATACGTATATGTATATATATATATACATATATATATATATATATATTCTGTATAGCCCTTTATACGTATGTAAGGATGGGGTCACCCAGATATTTTAACTGGGTCAATCAGAGATATGACCAAGATGTAAATAAGACCTAGATATTACCATTGAGTCACCCCACACCACTTGAAATAACTATCTTAATCAGGTGAGAACACCTCTATTGAATCAATCAATCAATTAATCAAGGGCATTAAACTAAGTGTCCTTGAAAGCCTTGGGATGAAATGGAGTGAAACTACACAGAAGGCTTGTTGAAAGAACTTAGCTTGAAAAAGCTCAGCCATGTCCTTTGTATAAATGAGCAGACTACTTAGGAATCCAGAAGATTTGAGCAAGTAGCAAGGAGGAAGCAGCCCAGCCAAATCTCTGAGAGCAAATTGCTTTGTAAGGGGATTCGTAGAGCCCCTGTCTACTTTCCCTCCTCTTCCCTTCACCAGAGGAAAACCTTATGAACCTAGGAAGGTCAGATGATTTGGAATCCAAGGACAAACTAGACTCATAGAGGAAAGGTAGCTTCAAGGACTCTACAAAGAGAGTAGAAGAAAAGTTATAGCATACCTAAAAGGAATATCTTCAAGACTCCAGCAAAAGCAATTCTAGGAGTTGTAAGTTACTTTTTGTCACATGTGTTCTAAGCTTGAGCCCACTTTCCCCTAGACTCTGTAGATACTCATGAGAGAGTGTGTCACAGACATGGGAGGGGGGCACAAGGTATGTTTTGTATCAGTGATTCTTACTATGCATCTTAGTAAGTGTTCCTAAGTAAAAGCTAATTAAGTCTGGCTGACTAATTGATATTAGTAAATAGACACTGGGTGAAGAATACCAGGTTTTTGAGCTATATAGCACTGGAAAAACACAAAGGTTAACTCAACATTCAGAGAACATTCAGAGTCACTTTAGTGACTCATCCTGCCAATGTGAAGAGAGTGTTGGAGGAGTAGTTCCAGAGAATGTGCTATGTTACATGTTGTCTCCACCAGCAGAATGTAAACTACTTGAGAGTGGAGATTATTTCAGTCTTGCTATTTGTATCCCCAGCACCTAGCAAAGTGCCTGACATGTAATTTAATTGATTGACCTTGAAGAAATCACTCAAAATCTTAGGAAATCCTCTGCAGAACGAGAGGGATGAATCAAATGATCTTTAAGGTTTCACCCAGCTCTAATAAATACTTAGGTGGCTTCTCAAGAGGTATATAATGGCATGTTAATCATTAACATATAATAAATATAATAAGGAACAGTGACTGCCATCTTTTTAACACCTTCAAATGCTATAAAAGAGTTATAGCTCAAAATCAACACCTTAAATCAAAGGTGTACATTTCATGGAATTACAGAAAACTTTACTAGCCTAATGGATAAAGAACATTTCTTTCTATGAGCCTTTCTTAGTGAAGAATTATGCCTTTCCCTTGAATCAAATCTGCCTGGTGGCCCAAGTCCAAAGGAGGAAAATGGAAAGTTCTAAAGAATTCTGTAAAAGACTGTGTATATTCTGAAAAGAGATGTACCAGAGAGTACATTTTCCTGTATCACACTGCTCTTTAGGAGAACTCAACATTGTTCTTTGTCCTTGTTTTTCAAAGAGGACCAATAACATCATAGGCGATGTCTTGACTCATGTGTGAATTGGATTTAAGTGAAGCAGAGTTGCACAAAGTTGCCAGCCTTACTCTCTTTTCCAGAGTCATCAAAGTCCAGGGTCAAAACAAAAGTCAGGATGACTGAAGATAGCCTGCAATGTAGTGGATGACTTTGGTGTCTTTGATTCCTGACCAAGCTGTAAGCAATCCACAGTGCCTGCTTCAGCTGCCTTTGTGGCTGTTGGAACAAACTATTTTCATCTGCCCATTCTACTGGGGAAAGTCTTCAAAGGCTTGGGGTAGACACTCTGCTAACTTACCAGCAGGTTTGTGGCCTACTGGTTACCCTCAACCTGGTTTAGCTCGTCTGCCCATATGATTTACCAGCATGTGGCCATTGCACATGTTGCAGCTTCTTGGAACCACAGGTGAGAGGTGAGTGCCAAGTGGACACCACATGTGAATAAGCAGGTCTGAAAAAGGCTCAGCAAGCCCTCATACCAGGGGATAGTCCTCTCTGAATACCCCTACACCCCAAGAACTCAACATGTAAACCCTGCAAATAGTAGTCACTTATACCTTCACTTGTTGACTCCATTCTGGATGCTGTATTCACAGTGTCTCCAAATAAACAGTATCGGGGCATTTTGGTTCCAACAACTCCAGCAACCACTGGCCCTAATGAAAAAATCCATACATTGGAAAAATGTAAGAATAACAGCCAAGTTCAAATAAAGCCAAGGAAAATACACCCTTGGATACTGTCTTTGAAGCTTAGACACATCATTATTCTCTGCTCCCTAATGAATGCAAAATGAGCAAGGTTTGATATTAAAATGAAAATTCTTGCAATTGTTGCACATTAAGATGAGAAGTATTAAGGGATTCTGCCGAGGTAATTTGTATTCTACATTACCCATTTAATCATGGGACTAGGAAAATATGCTGTGAGAAGGGAAAAAAAAGGAGGATGAGAGGGAGAAAACAAATCATTAAAAGTTGGAACAGTGACCTCAAAGTCCTCAGATTGTGGCTGTGCAATAATATCTTATTCATGGAGTCAGAGTCTGGCAATGCACTCCTCCTGGGAACCATAGCAAGAGACAGGGCCAACACAGAACCTGGATGTCAGTGCTCAAGTGATTATACAGGATATGTAATATCAAACATTCCAATGAGGACTTTGTAGTAAATTTATCCAATGAGGACAATGTAGTAAAGGTGTGGAACTAACCGATTTAGGATTATGCAAAGAAAAGGGACAAACTGAAGCCTGAAACCTGCAATGGACCACCACAAGAATGAATCAAAAGCCAGGGAAAGAGAAATGAGGAATGAGGTAGGATCTAATACCAGCCACCTTGTCCAAATAAGCAGACAACATTAAATGGCACCTAGATTTCAGAGTGAACTACAGAGGATCACTTTACTCTGATGTACCCCATATATCCAATGAGTTGCAAAATCAAATAATTTCTCCTTTAATCTAGCAATATCACCAATAGAACTTTAACCCAAAGAAATCAAGGAAAGAGGAAAAGGTGCTCCACATATAGAGACATGGCTATATAAATATATGTAGTTATAAACCAATCATAATCTGTGTGTACTAGTTGTAAGCCTTCTGAAAACTCACATTGAATGTTGGAGTCAATGTTTTTAGCCCTGGGGTAAGTGAAATGAATGAATGAAAAATCATTTATTAAGTTCTAATTATGTTCAAAGCTCTCTGATAAATGCATTCAAGTGCTAATTATATACAAAGCACTCTAATAAATGCTAAAAATACAAATAGAAAAGCAAGATTGTCTCTGCCAGGGGAGAGTGGAGCCTGCTCCAACCGGAGTAGATTGTTCAATTTTCAGGGTGAGCTTTTACACTTCAGAAACTGACAAACACTTAAGTCAGGGATTGATTTACTATTTTGTTGACTGTCTAGACCTAAGAAAGTTATAGAAAAATATGAATAAAGTAGATTAAACTTAAAAGTGTGTTATATGTACATGTTTTTACCATGGAGCCAGGTGTCAAACATTTACCAGCACACCCCTTGCTCCCTGCCCTCAAGTCCACATTCTAACAAGGATAGACAACACATACAGGGGGTTTCCACTGTGAGTTAGATGGAAAGACCCAGGAATCCTTAGGGTACAGTTGCAAGGCAGATGGTAACCCATCTTCCATTAAAAAGTTTCTGATATTGAAGCATTTGATGGTTCCAAGAACTCTCTGGATCTTATGGGATCCTAGGATCATAGATTTAAAGCTGGCCCTTAGGGGCCATTGAGCCCAATGCCCTGACTCCAAAGATGAGGAAACAGAAGCACAGAGAGGTTCAATGACTTATCTGAGGTCACACAGCTATTAAGTGTTTGAGGCAAGATTTAAATCCAGGACTTCCTGACTCTAAGTCCAATGCCCTATTCCACACTGCCTCAACAGTCAGAAGGCCTAGCTATATGACCTTAAGCAAATCAATCAACCTCCCTGCACTTTGGTTTCCTCATCTGTTTTGCCCAACTAACAATTTTGTTGTGAAGTTCAAAGGAGAAACTGAAAGCATTTTATAAATGATATCATAGCTATAACAGTGTAAGGTAATACTTGAGTTTCTAGCAAGAATCAGTAAATGATTCATTGAACTGACACCATGCAAGTCATATCTGTTGAGTGTAGAATGATTTAAATTATATGAGAGAATCCTTGGAAGGTGAAAGAATGAGAGGCAATGTAGGGTACAGATACAATCCCACCACAACAAATAAAAATATCCTACATGTAAAAAATACTCTAATGACAGGAAAATAAAAATTGACAGAACCCAAAACAAGAGAGTTTTTACAGAAACAAAATCCTGAAGACCATTTCACCAGTCCATCATTTCTGGTATTCCTGCACCTGATTTCCCCCCGCCCCTGCCACCACAAACCAAGGCTTTACTGCCCACAATAGCCCCAAGATCCATGTAACTGGCCACAATTTTAGGCATCAACTTTTGAAGCTGACTCCTTGGCAGTATCCCAGGGGGTACTCTCCTCCCAATAAGGGTTGAGGCTCATGAATTAGACCAGCCCTTAAGTTCAAGAGGAAGGAAAGAAAGTAGCCATAGAAAAGTACGGAGTCCAGGGAGAAGGCTGTGGGAAAGGGAAGAAGTAATTAGGGCAGCTAGGTAGCACAGTGGATAGAGTGCCAGGCCTAGAGTCAGGAAGACCTGAATTCCTGGCCTCAGACACTTACTAGCTGTGTGACTTTGGCCAAATCACAAAACCCTGTTTGCCTCAGTTTCCTCACCTGTAAAATGAGAAGGAAATAGCAAACCACTCCATTATCTTTGCCAAGAAAACTCCAAATGGAGTCACAAAGAGTCAGACACAATTAAAAAACAACTCAACAATAGCAACAATTAGTGTGATCCTGGTTACAACTTATGATACAGTGGAAAGAACATTGGCTCTGGAGACAGAAATCCTGGCCTCAAATCCTTTCTATGATGCTTACTGCCTATGTGACCTTGGGTAAGTCATTTTGCCTCCATGGGCCTCAGTTCCCTTTCTGTTACATGAAAGCATTGAGTTAAAAGGACTCCGAGTTTCCTTCCAGTTCTAAATTCATTATTCTTTGACCAGGACACAGACAGCCATCCAGAGGAGGGAGAAAAAGGAGAAGAGGTCCAATTGCAATGGCTTCTCAAAGTTTTCCCTGAGTAATGTTCTAGGGTAGCATCTTCCAATTTGTTTCTGACCACCACTCAAGATTTGGCTAAGGAAATGAAGAAAGAAAATAACAGAAAAGAAAGTGAAACCCAGAAAATGGGGATTTAGAAAAGAAGAAAAGAAATCCAAATTCAGTGGCATTTCAGAAAACTCTCAATAGCAGGGTACCCAAGGATCGCTCTGGTCTGAAAGAACATAGCATAGGCAGGAGGCTTTGGGGGAGGGGCATAACATATTAAGCCTAGATCAAATTTATCCAGTATGATAGGGAAAGTAAAAAGCACCTATGGAGCAAAGATGCCATAGAAAGATCAGAAGAATGACTAACAAAAATCTGTGGAAAACCTGCTTGAAGTTAAGAAATGAGCAAAAAATTAAAGGAAAGTTAAATCAAATACTTTGATATAAAGAAAATTGAGTTAATAATTCCTTGAGGGAAAGGGAATTATTTCAACAAATTCTGCAAGTCCCTTCATTTCAAATGACTGTAGCAATAAAAAAAAAAAACACTGAATGGTTTGGAAGAATTAAATGAAAATATCAATGAAATAAGGATACAATTTGAATTATTAAGGAATTAATCAACAAGTCTATCAGGAGAAGAGAATCTAGAAAAAAGGGTGAGACATTTTAAAGTAACAATTTATCTGGAAAATAACAGGATGACCAAATCAGAATGTAGAAAATGCAGACAGAAGGAAAACTAATTATCAAAAGATAATATAATTGGAAGAACTTATGAGAGCTTTACAAATGAGAATGTTGAACTTAAAAATAGTATGTGAAGAGATTGTAGGTATTCCCAAAAAAATTATGGAAAAAAACCTTATACAATATTTCCGGAAAACACATAGGAAAATTGCCCAGAAATATTGGAGACAGATGGAAACATAAAAATTGAGAGAATCTGCACAAGATCAATAGAAATCAACCCCAAATTTGGCTCACTGAGCAATATCATAGTCAAATTTTGGAATTACAAAATCAAAGAACAAGCAATGAAAAGCTTTTTCCAAGTGCAACTAATTAGCATAACACAGAATTACTTCTCATTAACAAGAAAAAATCTAAGGAAATTGTAGAATGATATTCTGAAAAGCAAAGAGGATCAAATGGTACTCCAAAATAGCATATAATTACATCTTTATACCACTTTAAGGTTTGCAGAGCACCTTGCATGTTATCTCATTTCATCTTCACAACAACCCTACCAGTGAAATGTTAGTATCTTCCCCTTTTGCATGTGAGGAAACAGGCTCAGAGAGGTTAAATGACTTGCCCAGGGTCATATAGCTAGTAAATGCCTGATCCAAGATTCAGAATCAGGTCTTCCTAAAATCACATCCATCACTGTACCTATGTCACCACCTCTTGCCTACCTGAGGCAAAATATTAATGAAAATACTGTATGTTAAGCAAAGAAGAATAATTTGAGTCATCCTTTCAAAAGAATTCAGAAGCAAAAAAAGTATTCTACAAACTAATCTAAGAGAATAAAGCAATATAAATAGTGGAGATGTAATACCCAGCATTTCTCTCCATTGGGATAAAGAAACCGGGAAAATATTGGTTTAAAAAAAAAACTTAGAAAGGAGAACTAAATGGCAGCCTTTCAATTTATTTGCCTGCCTTTGGGGTTGAGGGAGAACAGGAAAAGAATATTTGGAGAGAGAAAAGGAAGATCACAGAATGGGGAACGGGAAATAGGTCCCATCAGCAGAAAGAAAATATTCTAGTAGTGTCCTGAGGTGGTTCTACAGAGGCAGGAGGGGATGAGTTTACAAACATACAACGAATTTCATTGGAGATACATAAACACGTCAGAAGATCAGTTTCTTCAAGCCAAGGTCATGCATGTTGGTATCCAATGAAGGGTGGATGTGTTAGAATGCTGGTGGGAATCAGAAGGGGAGTGGATGCCTTAAAGAGAGATAAACAGGGAGTCATATGCTCAAAGGGAGGTTGGCATGAATGAAAATAGATAAATAAGGAGGAAAAAAGTCAAAAACCAGTATCAGCCCTCCTTGGACTTGGTTCCCATTACAACCTGCTGCATGAAAACTGAAATTCCTGGAATTGGGTTCTATAGTCTCCTTGAAGGGAGAGAAGTCATAAAACAGATGGAATTAAAACAACATTTCATGGAAGGAATGTCACAAATTAATGTCAGATGAATTTAAGAAAAAAGGATAGGGAAAAAACAGGGAGATAAGGAACTACTCTAATCTGAACTGGGAAAGAGAAGGGTAAAACAAATGAAAGAGACAATAAAAATATAATCAAACTCAATAAATTAATCAGGAGGGAGAGAAGTTGAGGGAAGGAGAATGAAATCAAATTAGAATACCCAATAAGAGGAGAAAATCAAATTAGCAAAAGAAAAATTTTAAAGGTGAATTCATAAGAGAGAGAAAACAATTATCAGAAACTACTATACAGAATTTCACAGCTATTTTTACATTTTTATGTTTATCAATTCCCTTTATTTATAAATCATATCTGGTTTAGTAATTTTATATTGATTTAAATATAAGTAAATAAGAGTAATTATTAATGGTAAAGTAGGTTACTCTAGTTCACTGAATAATATTTAATGATTTGGAGAAGGGCTAAAGCTAATTGGTTAATTAATGAATAAGATTGCAAATTCATTAATGAAAAATTATTCTACATATCCATAGACCTCTAAGGAGCTCAGAATTAACAAATTAGATACACAGTAATGACTACAGTGGTAGATTGAAGTTGGATGAACTTCCAGTGATTGTAGTTAGACCCCAGATCTTGTTAATACTGTTATATATTAATAAAATCAGTGAAGATTGAATAGGAAGAGAAACTGTAAAGTGACAACAGCAACAACAACAATGACAAAAACCCTTGCATCAAATACCATTGATAAAAGTCTAATATCTCAATAGGTAAACTGTCAAAGGGACACAAATCAAGTTTTCAGGAGAACTGCAATTTATAAATGATCATTTGAAAACATGCCTCAGATTACTATAGTAGGAAAGATACAAATTAAAATAATTTTAAGATTTTACCTCACACCCTGAAAATTGGCAAAGATGACAAAAAATGAAAATGGTCAACGTTGGAAGAGTTATAGGGAAACAGGCATAGCAATACACCCTTAGGTTGCTTTGGTTTGTTGCATTCTGGGCATCAATTCAGAACTATGCAAGAAAAATGACTAAACTGTTCATATCCTTTGTACTACCAATCCCATTAACTGGCATATGTTCCATGAAAGTCAAAGACAGATTCAATATAAATTAACATATTCTTTATTCTTTATAGTAGAAAAAAAACTATAAATAGAATGTGTGCCCATCAATTGGGAGTTGGCTGTGAGTGGAGGTGGAGAGAAACTGTGACATGTGAATGTAACATAATATTACTGTACAACAAGAAATAATTAATATTAGAAATTCAGAAAAACAAAGGAAGATTTGCATGAACTGATGCAAAGAGTATATAATTACTACAATAATGTTAATGGAAAAGATCATGAAAAGGTAGAATTCTGAGTACCTGAAGAACCAATAATGGTCCTAAAAAACAGAAAATTAAACTTATTAAACTTGTATCAGAGAGGCAGTGAACTACTAGGGTGTAATGTTGTTATGTATTGTCAGATTTAGTCTATAGTGAGTATTTTTGTTTATTAAAAAAAGATTAATATTTAAGCAAAAATAGTGCCCCATGGACACGATTACTGTATCTTTAAAAGGGACTAGACTCTTGAGAAAGAGGTATTCTGTCAATCTTAAGGGAATTAACTATCCTGGGGGAGGAGGGAAAAGAGTGTGAGTCACTATGAGAAAAAATTAGAATTTCTTTCCTGAGACACTGTGTGAATTAACTGTCAAGGGGAAAGCAGTTGAAGAAATGTTTCGAGAGGACTGCACATAACTGTTATTTTGTGATGATATATCATGAAAATAATTTCCAAGAGACCTGAATTGCTATCCTAAGGGAATTGCATTTCCATAATTGAGTAGTCATTAGCAGAGTGGATGAGAATGTGGTATTCCGCATAGTGGTGCATTGACAAACATTTAATAAATGGTTCTCAAAAAATGTACACATGATATATCTTTAAGTTTAATCTGTGTTATTAATAGTTTCTCCATCACTTTCTTCAGTCTAGGCATTCAACAAAACAATAAATGAATTCCTGATTTGTAGCCTTTCACAGATTCCAAGGTCTAGTTACTCACATTGAAAATTTAACAATTGACTCCCAGGAGCCAGTATGGAGCTGGCTTCCTCCAGCATACCCTTGACTCTACCTTTCTTCTCTTTGATTTTGGAGGAACAGGGGTTATTGAGACTCATTTTAGCAGGTTTATCATATTAATATTTAAGCCCCATGGCAGTATATGATACAGAAATACTTAAATATTTTGAGGTAAGAGAAAGAGGAACAGAGAATGGATATGAATAGTACCATAAATATTTTCTGTGTTTATATGGATAAAGTGGATAGTTGAGGTAATTATTCAAGTGATTTGGGGGAAATACTGATCATTGAAAGGAGAAAGAGTGATGGAGAGCAAAATTCATTCAGCTTATCTTTCTCTGTAAATATACTGGATAAATACTCAATTCTACTTTACTTGCTTTTGTAAACAAAGTCACACTGCCTCCCGCTTCACTGGAATTTCTTACCTGAATGGATCCCAGCACGTATCATCAGCTGGACATTGGGTTTATGGGGAATCTTAAATGTCTTGCACACAGCTACCAAATCCAGTGCCATGCTAGCTATTTGCCCAGCATGGAGAATGCCATTCATTTTGGGCACTCCTGATACGACCATGTCTGAAACACACAGATGGAACACTTGAGAAAGCATTTTAAAAGTATGCACACTTCAGATATTACTTGTCTTCTTGTTTCTATGCCTTCCTTTTACATTTCAGCTATGGTTCTAAAGATCTACTTAGGGCAGAGATCCCAGAAAATTAATTCTAGGTAAGTATCTAAGAGAGCTATAAAGCCCTTGGGGGAAGGGGAGGGTAATGGAGAGGATGGAGGTAATCTCCACTATGCTTTAGCACACCCCGGATCATTTTCAATGAGAGAACAGATTACCACTTAGAAGCAGCAGTGCCAGCTTCTTGTGCCTGAAGAGCATTATTCCCTCTTCTCTTTGTTGAGTAAACACTATCACACTCAGACACAAGTTATTGGCATACGCACCTCATTCTGTGGACTCTGGCTCTGGTTTTCTGACAAACTATGAATTTTTTTCCGTATTATGGTCAGGCAACTATCTATGCAGTATTGTATTTCTCTTCTCTCTGACACACACATTAGAAATATAGGGGTTTGGGCCAATGATAGTGGGACTTGGGAAATAATTAAATACAATCTGATTCATTATAAATACTTATGTAGGCACTTGTTGACTAATAAATGTTTGTTGACTGATTCTTTGAGACCTTTTAGTGTATACAAGTAGTTACTGAATAACAATCCAATGTCCTAGAAAGAGTCAGGGCAGCTTTCAAAAGTGTGGAAAAACACAACAAAGGTACAGACATAATGATAATGACTTTTGTAGAAGTGAATTGGGAGAAGGGGAGGTGGTGACTATAACTAAGGGTTGAACAAGGTATTAACAAGGCTGCCTTTCCTGATTCTAGCAAATCAGCAAATTATTTAGGTGCTTTGGGGTTAACAAAGCCATGTATAACTCAGGGCTCCCAAGCTTTGAGATAAGTCATCCCCTATTGGCCACTGAGCAGGAAAAGCTGATGATTCATTGGCTCTTTTAAAAATGAATGATTCTACCTCTCAAAATCTCTTCTTCCTTATACTCCCCATGTAGAAAGCAATTTTCCCACCAGGAACATCTGGAGGGGGTCATCCTTTCTCTAACTCCATCAGAAATGGCAAACTGTTGAGCATATCACAGTTGAATCCTGCCTCTGTGACTCTGATCCTGGTTTTGGGGCTGCTTCTTTACTTGTTCTCTCCTGATCTTAGGTGAATGAATATCATTCCCAAGATGGTAATGTCCAGGCTTGAGGTCCATCTTATAAGTTTGACAATCCTGAGACCTCTTCAGAGTTGACTGGTAGGAAAGACATTCTCAGCAACCAGGTCAATGCTCTTCGACAAGATAACTCCCAAAGAGAAGAGACCAAACCCTAGCCTGGCTGACCAGAGGACATCTACCATGGCTGGGGTGGAGAACATGCTGGGAGTAGAGCAAAGGGAAGAACTGAATCTGGATGAAATATAAATATCAAAACCTCCACTCCACTCTTCACTCAGGAGTGAATTTACCTGAAGTTCCTGCCTCTAAGGGAAATGTCTTCTGTTCTTTACTCAAACAACCTCCTTTCTATTACTTATATTTATTTATTCATGACTTGGACTTTTGTCAAAGGGAAACCTCAGATTCAGTTTTCTATGCTTTGGGAAGTTTATAGAATATAATGGTCCATAAGATTCTTTTTCATTTAGCTCAGAAGCCCCCAGACAGGATGGAATCCTGATGAATTATACAGATATTCCAAATTTCTGTCTACTTTGTTGGTCATTCTGTCTTTAGAAACAGTTGCATCTTTTATCTAACCATAGAATTAAAAATTGATCAAACAGAAATTAAAAGTACAGCTTTAAAGCACAGGAAATCTTTGTATGTACTCTCCCAATGGGAGAAAGTATAGGCAAACTGGAAACAGTATATTAGGAACCACACAAGTTCTCTCCAAATGGGGGATGGGGGTGTGGAGGGGAGTGAAGTTTGACCATTAGACCTGTCTCCTGCCTCAACTGCAGGCATATCCCATCTGACCATAGCCATTCCATTCGATGAGGCTTCAAATGTAACTTCCTCTAATCTTCACCCAGATCACCTGGTGCTCTGACTCTCCATCATCTCCATTCACCCTCAGCTTGTAATATTGAAAGTGAAAGCTCCCCTAAAATTTCAGCTTCTCAAACTCCTGCATTATCTCTTGTTTCAATACTCCAGATGTGGAGGAATTCTCGTACAACAACCAGTGCGTGCGCGCACACACACACACACACACACACACACACACACACACACATCTTTGTACCTCTCTCTAGTAAGAGCCCAAAAAGGCAAGTTTTTGTTCTAGCTCAGAGAATTTTATCTTCCAGACTGAAAATTTTCTGTGTCAGAGAGCTACATACTGTTATACTTTCTTAGATCCATGATATCACTGACATGGCTATTTCCTCTACTGGTATTCACCAAAATCCATTTAGGATTCTCATGCCATGCAATTCTTGTCCACGTTCTAAATATTCCTAAATCATACCTACTCAATGCCTTGTACTTTTTCTATAAGAACATATTGAGGAGGCAGAGCTAAGATGGCAGAGTAAAAGCAACGACTTACTTGAGCTCTCCCACAAAGCCCTCTAAATACCTGTAAAAAATGGCTCTAAACAAATTCTAGAGCAGCAGAACCCATAAAAAGATGGAATGAAACAAATTTCCAGCCCAAGACAACCTGGATGGTTGATAGGAAAGGTCTATTGCACCAGGCTGGGAAAGGAGTGCAGTTCAGCACAGGCCAGACCAGGCATCAGCAAACCTGGAGCAGGCCTCAGGGGACTGAATCACAGGAAGCTATGGTGGTTTCCAGACTTCTCAACCCACAAACACCAAAGACAATTTAGAAGGTCAGTAGGAAAGGTCTGTGACAGCAGTGAGAGAAAAGCTTGGTCGCAGCCCCAGTCCCAGCATAGCTCTGAGGTGGTGGTTGCTTCCAGAGCTCTTGGCCCAGAGATGGAGGGGGAATAGAGTGGATGATCAGAGGGAGATTACAGGGATCTCTTCACTGGTGCTGAAGCAGGACTCTGCTTTGTCCATGCTTGGATCTGGGTCACAGTCTTGGGTGGAGGTCCTGGGGCAAGGAGGAGTGCCAGCATGGAGAAGCTTGTGGCAGCAGTAAAGAGGGAATCTTCCTGCCAGTTTCAAGGCAGAAAAGAGTCTTTGTGGTCACTCACAGACCACAGCCCAGGCCAGGAAAGAAGTAAACACTTCACCTTTGATTATGCCACCTTGGAAGAACTGAAAATTTACAGGTCCCTAGAAGTATCTCTGAAAACAGCTACACAAAACCCCTGAAGATTGGGACAGTACATTCTCCACACTGGAAGCAGAGCCCTACCTTAACAAAGAGTTTAAAACTCAAGTAATTGGGTGGGATCATGAGCAAACAGCTCAAAAAAAGTCAGACCATAGAATCTTATTTTGGTGATAAAGAAGATCAAAACATACAACTAGAAGAAGACAACAGAGTCAAAGCTCCTACATCCAAAGCCTCCAAGAAAAATATGAATCAGTCCCAGGCCATCGAAGAGCTCAAAAAGGATTTTGAGAAGCAAGTAAGAGAAATAGAGGAAAAACTGGGAAGAGAAATGAGAGTGATGCAAGAAAATCATGAAAAACAAGTCAACAGCTTGCTAAAGGAGACCTAAAAAAAAAAATACTGAAGAGAATAACACCTTAAAAAATAGACTAACCTAAATGGCAAAAGAGGTCCAAAAAACCAATGAGGAGAAGAATGCCCTTAAAAAGCAGAATTGGCCAAATGGGAAAGGAGGTACAAAAGCTCACCAAAGGAAATAATTTCCTAAAAATTAGACTGAAACAAATGGAAGCTAATGACTCTTTGAGAAATCAAGAAGTTATAAAACAAAACCAAAAGAATGAAAAAAAAATAGAAGACAATCTGAAATATCTCAGTGGAAAAACAACTGACCTGGAAAAATAGATCTAGGAGAGAAAATTTAAAAATAATTGGACTACCTGAAAGCCATGATAACAAAAAGGGCCTAGACATCATCTTTCAAGAAATTATCAAGGAAAACTGCCCTAATATTCTAGAACCAGAGGGTAAAATAGAAATAGAAAGAACCCACCAATCACTTCCTGAAAGAGATCCCCAAAGGAAAACTCTTAGGAATATTATAGCCAAATTCCAAAGTTCCCAGGTCGAGAAAATATTGCAAGCATCCAGAAAGAAACAATTAATGTATTGTGTAAACACAATCAGGATAACGCAAGATTTAGCAGCTTCTACGTTAGGGGACTAAAGGGCTTAGAAAATATGATACTCTGGAGGTCAAAGGAGATAGGATTACAACCAAGAATCACCTACTCAGCAAAACTGAGTATAATCTTTCAAGGGAAAAAATGGATATTCAGTGAAAATAGAGGACTTTCAAGCATTCTTGAGGAAAAGACCAGAGCTGAATAGAAAATTTGATTTTCAAATACAAGACTCAAGAGAAGCATGAAAAGGTAAACAGGAAAGATAAATCATTAGGGATTTATTAAATTGAACTGTTTACATTCCTACATGGAAAGATGATATTTGCAACTCATGAGACCTTTGTCAGTATTAGGGTAGTGGGAGGGCAAAAATTATATGTATAGACAGACAGACAGACAGACAAATAGATAGATAGATAGATAGATAGATAGATAGATAGATAGATAGATAGATAGATAGATAGATAGAGGGCACAGGGTCAATTGAAGATGAAGGGGTGATATCTAAAAATAAAATTAAGGGGTGAAAAAGGATTATACTGGGAGAAGGACAAAGGAAAAGGCAGAATGGGGTAAATAATCTCACATAAAACAGACAAGAAAAAGCTTTTACAGTGGAGGGGAAGTGGGGGAAGGTGAGAGGGAATGAGTGAATCTTATTGTCATCAGATTTGACTTAAGGAGTGAATAACATACACACTCAATTGGGTATGGAAATCTATCTTACCCTATAGGAAAATAGAGGGGAAGGGGATAAGGAGGGGGGAGATGATAA